CTACAATTTGTGCAGCTGTGATTGGTTCGTACGATTTTTTTTTTGTTCGTAATATACAGGTGAATCCACCTCTTTTCATAGATGAGGATCTGCTCTCACTGGTCCGCTCGTTTTTTTTTAAGTTCCGACCGATCTGATATGTTGGGGGTGAAAAACAACCGATGAGCTGCAGTCTTGCTCATGTGCACCTACCGGCCGTTTCTTCTTGTACGGTTCCAGGTTGGGATGATTTAATGGTCGGGCTTGGTTCGTTTCCTGTTCTCGGGGGGGTTGGTTCTGTTGTGCGGTCCGATTGTTGCCGATTCGTTGGCAAGCAAAATAACGAATCTGATAGATCCGACGCGTGGCGGCTCATCTTTCGTCCGATCACATGACTTCTCTGGTTGTCGCCCCATCGGCACACCCTTTGTGGTGGTGGTGGTGGTGGTAGTGCTGCTGCTATGCTATTTAAGACCTAGTTGTACCGCGCTGTAAGAATAGTATCGGGGCGTCGATTTTTGTGTAGAACGAACACGACATCAAAGGCGATTGCTGAAGTCTTGACCCACTTGCCCAGAGAAGACGTGTCGACGTTCGTCCTTCCGGTTAAGCAAGGTGCAGCAACGCTTTGCCGATGGTTGGATTTTGCTGGAATGATCGGAGGTTTTCTTCAGAAGTCATTTGAGACAGACGTGAGTTTGGACGCTGCATGTCTTTCTTGTTTTTTGTTCTAGAATGGCTGATAACTGGGGATTATAACCAGCCCAACACATGTCACGGCGGGTGGGTTCAGCGGTTGGCCGCTGTTTCTGATACTGGCTTGTTGCTTTTCTGCGAAAAAAGGGAGGATCGCGAAGAAGGAAGACTTCGGCAGGAGGTGGAGGAGGTGTTTCGAGACAGCGACACTTCCAAAAAGAACGAAAAAGAAGCGGCCATCACGCTGTAGGGGTTTGTTTTTGCGGTACGCCAGCCGGAACACTACTAGTGTTCTTTCGTATTGGTCCAAAAGCAAACTTGTGGTTTAAAACTTCACTCTTTGTTCCCAATGGGACGGACAATCAGCCATTATCCTGTTGGGGATGCTTTGGGGCGTGGGATAGACAGCCCTGCGGTCGGTTACACGGTTTATTGTACCCTTTCGGCACAGCAGTAGGACAGTAGTCTGCCTCTTTACCTAATAGTAGAGCAGCATTCTACACGGGGAATGAGCCCACCTTCCCTGCTCTCCTGTCCGAACGTCGCGTACGTTCCGGCCGTGTGTTCTGTTTTTCATCATAGAATTAACATCAGGGGTTTTGACTTCACTCCTCTCTGTCTCTCTCTCTCTGGTGAATAATCGGTTTCGTTTTCTTTTGTTTGTTGCTCGCTGTTCATGTTCTTTATCTTTTAGTTTGGCACGTTTTTCTTTTTTATTTATTTTTTCTTGTTCGTGGTTTTTCTTCGGGTTTGTTGGTGGTTTTTTTTTTTACGAGCTGCTCTATTAACAGAGAGATGCTTTATTTTTGTCGAGTGTTGAAGGTTGTCGATGTTGTAGCACTGTTGTCTGTTTCGTTTAGTCTTCCAGGCGTTACCTGGGAGAACGAAGCGTGTGGTGTCGTGCTGTTTGCTATGCGCAGCTGATGCTGCTACTGCTGCTCTGCTGCTGTTGGTGGTGGTGCTATGCGCTGCTGCTACGTGCTGCGTCGTGCTGCGGCGTACCATTTTGCTTTTTTTGTCGGGGGAGACTTGCGGCTGCTGTGTTTTGTGCTGTAGTGCTCGCTTGTAGTGCTTTGGTTCTTGTTGTAGTCGGGGGGCGCAATTGATGTCCTTCTTGTGATCGCGTCGTAGAAAAGGGACGTGAGGGCGAGATGGGGGAGAGAGAGAGAGAGAGAGAGAGAGAGAGAGAGAGAGAGAGAGAGAGAGAGAGAGAGAGACACAGGAGGTCCTCGCTTTCGTTTCTTGTGATTTTCTCTTGACGAGGGAAAGAGAGAGAGAGGGACGAGAGCGAGGTCCCCGGTTTCGTGAGCCTTGGCCTGGAGCGTGCCGGTAGTCTTCGAGACTGCCACAGGCAGCCAATGATTCAGAAACATGGCCCGACTCGTTGACCCCTGGGCTGCTGCTGCTATGCGCCTCCGGGAATTTGGGACTGAGTTCGCTTTGTTGCCAAACGTCACGTGTTCGCGCGTTGGCCTTACTCATACATGTGAAACTTGCTTGGGTTCCATCAAGCTGCTAAGAGATTTTTTTTTTTCGAGGGGCCTGGGCTCTTTTTCGCAACCACGAAGCCCTCAGATGCGCTCATCGTGGGCTGTTTTTGGTTCCGTTTCGCTTGACATTCTCCTCGGATATTTCGCGTTGTTTTGGCACTGAGCAGAGCCAAGGACAGCGTAGGCCAGTACTGATCTTCTCCTGTTCACCTGTAGATACACATCATCAGTAGATGATCCGCTCTTGACATTTCGTGCCAGGGAAATATGAATTTAGTCGGGATACAGCGAGCAGTGGGGGGCTCCTCAACAACTCCGGCATGTGCCCGGCGCATCGACCGGCGCTATTCAAACGCTCAATGATTTGGTGATTCAGTCTGTGCACAGCAATTCAACGGCGCTATTCAATCGGCGTTGTTGACCCCCCCCCCCCCACCCCC